TAACAATGTTTTGCAGCTATACTAGCCAATTACATATATTCAATTACCATGCACTGAAAACTTATTTAACATTGCAAAACTCATATATAAAAATTTTATATGCATAAAAATGAATGCATTCATTAATTATTTACTATACATTAACTTCATTTATGCATCTACATAACATTTTTTTTTTTATTTATGCATTTAGTAAATTCTTATGGCTTCTTTGGGGCATCATATGGGCCCACCAAAAACCGTTTCAATAATTGCAAAAAAAAATGCATTCATTAAATTCTTTACTATACATTAACTTCATTTAATGCATATACAATAAAAGATTTTTTTCTTCATTCATGCATTTAGTAAATTCTTATGGCTTATTTCGGGCATCGTACGGGCCCACCAGGAGCCGTTTCAAGGATCCAGGTTATAGGTATATTTAGGAATATATACTGTACTTTTTTTTTTTGGTTTCTCGCTTGATATCCGGAGTTTTGTCTCGACTAATTTGGATTCGACTCGCGGCACGCACCTGAAAATGGTAGGTGAGTCTCCCAGCGAGGGCTGCTGCGTACACAAAGTCCCAAACTCAAGATCTTACTTAAACTGAAACAAACCGCTTATCACTTGATCCAACCCTTAATTGGTGGAATATATACTGTACTTTGCGAGCCAACATTAGTTACTATAATTAACTTCTGTGCCATTACCTAGTTTCAAAAAAAGAAAAAAAACCATTACCTATTTTCAAAAAAAAAATAATAATAACTTCAGTGTCTCGTGGGCCCATTCTACCAGAATCTATATCTCTCTCTGTCTCTCCTATAAATGCTATGTTAATAAGAAGGAGACCATAACTGGGCCTTCATTATTAATGGGCTTAAAGACACTTGAAAAAAAACAAAAAAAAAAAAAGAAAGGAAAATGCGGTGAGCGTGGATCGAACACGACCTTCAGATCTTCAGTCTGACGCTCTCCCAACTGAGCTATCCCCGCAACTGATTTAATGCAGCTTTTTCATTTTTCTTATCTGTTCTCAGGGTCAATCAATTCCGTTAATACAGCAGGTCACCGACTTCATAACGGTACGTGCAGAATTGCTGAGAAAGTTAGGAGCTCCCAAAACACAGAAGCTTTTATCTAGATCTCTTTTTATCATTGTGATCGGTAGCAATGATCTCTTTTACTACTTTGGCTCCCAGTCACGAATCACCCCACGCCGGTTTGTGGATAACATGCTTAGCACGCTAAAAGAACAGATTAAGGTAACTTCCTCGGTTCCAATTCAATTCAATTTGCAATGTCTACAATTTCAATATTCCTTAACGCTATGTTCATCATTGATTCCTATTCTAGAAGTTCAAAGTTGTGCTGATCGTAAGGAATTTAAATGAAATTTAAAGTTGATTTTATCATGTTTTGGCAGAGATTACACATGTATGGCGCACGCAAATTTCTTTTTACGGGGGTTCCGGTGATTGGATGCGTTCCTGAAGAAAGGGTCAAGAATGAAACCGGAGACTGCAATCAAGAAATAAACTACTGGGCCACCAAGTACAATGAAGGACTGGTGCCAATGTTGAAAGGGTTGAAATCAAAGCTTCAGGGCATGAACTATACATACTTTGACACCTACTCTTTCATGCAAAAAATCATCGAAAACCCATCTACTTATGGTAACAACAAACAGCATAAGAGCTTTTGTAGTTCCTCTTTACATTACTTAACTTTGCTGGTGAAGTTTTAATATAGATTGATTCTTGAATTCTGTTGCAGGATTCAGAGAGATTAAGTCTGCTTGCTGTGGGCTTGGGAACCTTAAAGCGATTGTCCCCTGTGGGCCCATTGCAAACTATTGTCCTAACAGGAAAGATCATTTTTTCTGGGATCTATACCATCCAACGGAAACAACTGCTCGGATTTTTGCTGATGCAATTTATGACGGTTCGTCTGAGTATACATTTCCGATGAATTTGAGGCAGCTGGCTTCTGCGCCCTGAGGATGGATTATAGAAAAGCAGGAGGCATTCTCTAGGGTAAAATGTCCCACAAAGCATTTGTATCAGCAGCAATACTATAAATTTATCAAATTTATAGGACTTAAAAGAATTGAAAATACAGAATTCTTTGATGCTCATTCCAAGTATGGTATCAAAGTAAATGTATGTTTCAAATGCTAATAAAATTTTTGGCTTCATTACCTCTTAATTGGCTTCTGAAATGTACCATAAGGGCATGCTTTTAGGATTCGTAAGGCAATAAATCTCCAAAGAAGATGTTGAGATCACCCTTGAGAACATCAAACGCCAACATTTTATCCAGTGCAGCCTGCATTTTTTTAGCTTAAATGGTGAGACTCATGTCTGTAACGAACAAAGAGATGTGTTATTGAATAGTAGTAGTCTTTTTTCAAAGGTCTAGATTCTAAATACAAAACCTGATATTGCTGGTCATGGGTTGATATATTCTGATTGTTCAATCGTGCAACACGTTTATGATTTCTAATAGCATCCAGTACTTGCGCTGCTCTCTTTATTACTTCATCTGGGACACCTACATGTGACAAGCAATTAGTCCCACAACAAGGAGACATGTAGCCTCTTAAGACTTCTCAAATTTTCAAGGTCTAGTATAGGCCTCAGGAACCAGTTTCTGAAACAAGCAACCCATTTAAATAACTACAAACGGTCCCGTTCACAGGCATCAAGAAAGTCTCCATTCAATGGTGACAACTATAGTTGTTAAAATGGCGAAGAACGGATTTTTTGGGAGTTTTTCCATTTACCTATACCCCGACATTTGGACATCACTAAATGTGAAAATGATATCCAAATAGGATCGGCTATATGGGATTTTGCTTAGTCTGAATCCAGTTCTTATTTTTAATACCCATATTGTTGAATTTCTTGCAAGCAAGACATATAGAAAGAAGGTCTAAAAAAAATTAGACAAGAAAATATCTCCGTAGTCATCAATATAAAATAAATAAGAGAGAGGGTCCATGATAACATGTTGTGGTGAAATGTCTACCCAACAATTAATGGTTCCATAACTATTGGTTTCATGGATTACTAGCTTTTTTTTTTTTTTTCAAAACTAACTTGAATATTTTTTTACCCATAACCTAAATAGTTCAGTAATAATTTTTTCTCTTTAAAAAAAAATGTTGAGATTGATTACATGGAAAAAAAGTTAAAAAATAAGAGAGAATTACTTTTTATTATATAATTTAACATTTAAAAAAAAAAAAGAATTTCCCATCTCAAATGCACAAAATTTTTTAATTAATAAAAAATAAGTTATTCATTTAAAAAATTAAGCTACCATCAATATTCAAACTAGTTAAGATTTAGTCTCTAAATCGATAAATCAAAGTAGCCACCCACTCTAATTATGTGTCAACTGTCAAGCAGATAGCTAAGTATTCAAGATGTGCTCATATTTTGGTCTGGTACAAGATAGGAGTAAGGGGACTTGAAGCTAAAACAATTAATTTTGAAGGTGATCCTAACCTAACTATATGAAAATGTGAACTAATATAAAAGTTGATTATCCCCCACCCCTCTAATGAATCATAGACACATTTTCAATAATGGATTGAAATTTGACAAATTAATTTCTGTTGATAATAATTTTGGTACTTGATTTTTTTTTATTTTATCATTAGTCAACTTTTATACATTTATTTTTGTTGTTTAATTAAAGATAAGCAATTCATATTAAAATTAGAAAAATCATGAAAAATCATTTTCTTATGAACTTCTTAAAAATTAAAAGAATAAAATCATGATAAATAAAGTCAACAAACTCTTTATCAACTAGAGCATCACTCTTTAGATAATTTGGGAACTTAAATAATTGGATGCCCATAATTACATTTCGTTAATATTTCAAAAGAGTTTTTTTACTTTGTGCCTTAACAGTTTCATTTCATTATAAATTTATATAAAAAATAGAATAATTGATATTAATTACAATATTGTTATTACATAAATGAATTTAATTAGATAATTGACACATTAATAATTAATTTTCATTTTTCTAACATAAATTTATGATAAAAAATATAATTATTATATTTTTAAATTA